CGAGCAAAAAAGCCAAAGTAGAATGGGGTAGCAAATATTCTACTTCTGGGGAAAATTAACAGTCTCCTAGCAGATTTCAATGCCTATCTAAGTTTCACTTTAAAACAAGAGCAAAATAAAGACATTGTCCTAGTTTGTTTCTCCATTGCTGTGACAAAATACTCTGACCAATACCAACATGGGGAGAAAAAGTGATTAATACATCTTACATCTCCCAGGTCACAGTTCACCAGGGAGCCCAAGGTAGGAACTCAGGGCAGGAACCTGGAGGCAGGAGCTGGAGCACATTGATGGAGGATGCTGCTTACAGGCTTGCTTCCTGGCCCCTGCTCAGCCTGCTTTCTCATGCAAAACAGGCCCACCTGCCCACGGGTGGCACCACCCCCAGTGGGCTAGGCCCTCCCACATCACTCAACAATCAAAAAATGCACCAAGACATGGTTCCAGGCCAGTCCAATGGAGGAAATTCCCCAATTGAGGCTCCCTCAACCCAGGTATGTCAAATTGATACTGAAGCTACCCAGCACACCTTGTAAAAGCCTCACCTCCAAATACTGCCGTATCAATGTTAGAGCTTCAACATTTGAATCTTGTGGTAATATAAATACATAACTGAAAGCCCAAGGGGCACTAAGCATGCATGGCTGAAAGATTTAGGAAGGAAAATTACCCAGGTCCCAGAATCACTCAAGCTTGTTGTGTTCTGTTCCATCCTCAGCAGAGCTGCCTGAGTGCAATATAGTAGCTCGGCTTGGAAGGAACATAACACCTTCTCTCCAGGGTGAAGATGGTGATCTTGGCTCCCCTGTCCTTGGGTAGAAGGAGGACAAACACTTCACATGGAGTAAAAGTTTATATCACTAAATGTTGTTGCTCCCAAATCTACCAATATTTCATCTTAGCTGTACAATTATAATGAAAGAAGACAAACATCTATCTATAAAAAGCTATCTTATTTTATAATATCTTGCCCATAACAGTTCTTTTTTTCTTTTGTTATTGAATTTTTGTGCATTTCATACAGAACATGTCAGTCTTAATCATCTTTATGCCTCTTTCCCCACTGGTGCTCTCCCAAGCCCCCTCCTCCACTGGAATTCAAATATTCTGTCATTTGTCTTAAGATCTATTGTGTCGAGTTAGTATCCCCAAGCATCCCTCAGTGCAAGTTCATCCACTGAGGTCTAGTCAGACTGTCTAGAGTCTCTCGCTTTAGGAAGATCAGCTCTTCCTCACCCTGTAGTAATCAGTTGCCAATATTTCTTCAGCTAAGATTGGGGTCTGCTGTCTATTTGCCCAGTTCTATGCTGAGTTTTTGTCTGTTTGAGTTTGCATGAGTCCTGTGCATGATGACACCATTGCTGTAGGTTCATATGAGCAAAGTCCCAGGATGTTATAGGAATGGACTATGTCCTTCCCTCACTCTCTCCTCTCCCCATTGCTTGCTATTACACTCCCTCCCTCAAGTTAAGGACAAAGTGAGAACCACCTCTAAATGGTCATGACCCAAGGCGACAACTCCTGTAGCTGGGGAGTGGCAGGAAAGGAGCAGCTAGGAAAGTCTCCACGCACTTTCTGGTGACTCATACAAGGACGAATGAACTGAACAGTGCCCAACAGTCCAGTCCACATTGCCTCTTTTTGCGCATGTATGCTCCTTACTTGTGGAAAACCCTACAGTTTTCATAACATCCAGGTCTTTCAGGAGAGCAAGAGACTCAAAAAGCATTGTCTGGCTAAGACCAGTATCTTTCTATTGTTGGAAATACAGGAATATTTTTGTTTCAATTTATTATATTCTCATTATGTTCCTTAAAAATAAAGAAAACACTTTGCCTCATGGTTGCCAATAAGATTTTCTCTTTATCTTTGATATTCTGTGTTATGGTACAGCTAAGAGAGTGGAGAGTACCTTTATTTTTTTTTTTTTCCTTGTTCAGCACAGCTTTGCTGGGCTTTATTATGAGAACTCTTGTCACTACTCACTGCCTTACGACTCCCAGCTGATTTTTCTTTAATCAATTTCTTGTCATTCCTTCCATGTCACACTTCTGGAAACCCCTGCCACGTGTGTGTTCTAATGTTACCCTCCATTGCTCTTAACGTAGATTTCATTTTTTAAAATTTACTTTAAACTTTTTGTGTTTGTGAGTACTTTGCCTCCATGTGTGTCTGTGTACCACTTGCATGCCTGGTGCCCATGGAAAGCAGAAGAGGACATCAGAATCCCCGGAGCTGGGGTTATAGAGGATTGTTAGCCTCCTGTGGGTGCTGGGAACCAAACCTGGGTCTTTTTATCTTTTTTTTTTTTTTTTTTTTTTTTTTTTTTTTTTTTTTTAAAAAAGAGATAGTGTCTTCCAACAGCCCCAGCTGACCTGGAACTTGCTGTGTGGACCAGGCTGGCCTTGAACTCACTGAGCTCTGCCTGTCTCTGCCTCCCTAGTGCTGGGATTAAACCATGCCTGGCTAAACCTGGGTCTTCAATAAGAGCAGCAAGTACTCTTAACTGCTGAGCTATCTCTTCAGCCCCTTGTAAGTTTGGTTTTTTTTTTTTTTTTAATCATATTTTCTTTTTCTTTTCTTTTTTTTACTTTTTATGTGGCATATGCACACAGTCTTATCAAAATTCCTATACAAAGAATTTTGACAGCTTTTTATCTCTCTTGGAAACCCCTCCTGCTCTTGGGAGTTTCTACTGTATGAGTTCTGGGCACTGAATTCAGGTTGTCAGATTTGGTGGCAGGTGCCTTTACCCATTAAGCCATCTCGCCAGCCCTTAGGTTCTTTTCTTTTCTTCTCCTCCCTCTCCTCCTCCCTCTTCCTCTTCCCCTCCCCCTCTCCCTCCCTCTGCTGCTCTCTCTCCCTTGTTGGTGGTTCTGGGAATAGAACCCAAGGCCTCAAGCATATGAGACAAACACTCTACCACTGAGCCACACCCCACTTTCTATCCTTAACACTTTATCGATAACTCATAATTTCATACACTAAGTGGGGTGGTTTACCAGAGTGTGAGAATGTGAGACTATGGGTTATTTTTACTTTCTTCTATACTGTTTGTATTTACCAAGTATTTTAAAACTATATCAATATAGAATGAGCCAAAACTGTTTGCTTAAGATAAACATTCAATTAAAGAATAATAGTTCATACATGGAATGACAAAAATGAAAGAAAGAAAGAAAGAAAGAAAGAAAGAAAGAAAGAAAGAAAGAAATAATAAAGATACACAGCAAAAGAAAACGTGTTCCCCAAATAGTAACCATTGAATACTTTAATAGGGCAAACCAGATGTGAAGAATAAGGGAACTTGTCTGTCATGGCAATAAGAGCTCTTTGTGCAAACAAAGGTTTCTGCAGAGACTACAGTGTTTGTGAATACCCATTTACCCAGGCTAGAAGCTTTTTAAAGGGAAACCTTTCCCAGCAAATTAGCTGCAAATTGGCCTCAGACCTCTCCTGTCAGCCTGCCTGTGCTGTGGTTTTATGATTACTATTGCCTGTATCATCAATTTGTATTTACTATATTCCACTCTTAAGTGAAAACACAGTTTACTGCATAAACCACAAAAGCCCCTGTTATCTTCCTCAGTCCAGCATTAATAATGCATCCTGATGTGCTGTTCATGAATGCAAGTACATTTACAAACTTCGTTAACCATCAAGGCCTCTGGGGCCTCCAGAGAGCCTGGTACCCTGGAAGCCATGGAGGTACCAGAAATGAAGCAGCCAGGCCCCCACCTGGCAGCTGCCAACTGCCCACCGCCCACCATGAATAAAGTCCTGAGCACTGGCTGTCTCCACCAACCCCATGGCAGACCCTCAGACTCTGAATCTAATTCATTTGTCTCCTTGAAAAGGGAGTCTCTTTAAATAATTATTTTCAGAATGTGATTAGTCATGTTGTAGTCATGATTAGCTGAGGCCAACAAGTGAAATTCCATAAGCATTTGCTAAAATGAAAATATTAAAAATAGTTTTTCTCCTTTGAACATCTATTTTGTCCTTTCAAGATAGTCTTAATAGTTTTCCACTCCCCTTTCCTGTAGTGATTGACTTGAAATAACACTCTTTTCTCTGTGTTAAAACAGGTGATTCTAAGAAATGGTACACGGTGTCCTCCAGAGGAACTAGACTTACTGTGTGATGGGGATGTCTGCCATATTCCCGTCCCCACAGTTCCTGCATCTCCTTAGGCACTAATATCATCCTTTGCCTTGTACATTGCCCTCCCTTTCTCTCACTTCCCTTCCTCTTTGTCCTTCCTCGCCCTCGCCATGTTTTCTTCTCCCTCTCTTTCTCCTGTTAAAATCAAAGGTTTGGGAAGCAGCTGTTTCTGGGGTGGCACTAGTTCTGTCTTTATAAGCTATGTGACCTGCAATGAGTTTATCCCTACTTTTAGCAAACCCTTCGGCAGACCTGGGGAGATGCCTGCCTTGCAGAAGTTTTTTCACCATCAAATGAAATTGCTGTGTGGCAGTACTCAGCAAGCCTAGAACACAGGCAAACTCCTAAGTTCCAGTTCCTGCTGGCCTTTTTCCTGTGTCATTTGCTATACTTCCCCTTGAAACTTGACTTGATCTGAGATGTTTAATGCCTATTCTAATTCATTTATTACTTCTTACCATTATATGTTATCTCCATACCCATTATAGGTCTAACACTAGTCATTTGAAACACAGTCATACTCCATTGTTTCTGAGTAATTAAAATTTCTGCCTCCGTAGGGTAGTTTATGAGGTAACATGAATGTCACACATGCCAGTTACCTCAAATCCAGCACATCCCACAGTTTCCACCTCAATAAAGCCTAATGCCAACACTAGAATCAGGTAAACACGTTCCCACTTCACACCCATTTTCTTTAGGCTGGTCACCGTAGGCTTCACCCCTATAGGAAAGTCAAAGACAATGAGTGCCCTTCTCTCACTCCTGGTTCTGTACCCTGCTCTATCTGAACTTCCTGTTGTCCCTGGAGACCCTGGTCTCCCCAGAACCTAAGTAAAACAACCCTTCTGCTATCCCCTGCATTTTGTCATGCCCCCTCCTCTGCCTCTCACCTGACACACACACCTGAGCCTGATCCACCTCCTCATCACAGCTCTTTAGGAAGTGGCTACTGTGACTGGATGCTCGACAGAGAGACCTCAAGACCAAGTGGAGAGAAATCACAGCAAACAGCATCATCTCCAATCATTCTCTGGCTCATGTGAGAACTGCCCTTTCCTACCTGAGTTCGGGTACCACTATGAGAAAAGAATGACACAAAATGCATAATAAAGATGATTCGCACTTCACATCCCTGCCATTCACCTCAAGGCTGCTCTGCCTTAACTAATTTCCACATTCACTATATTTAAAAACCCTGATGAACAAGAAACCCATGTGATCTTTCATATTCACTTGGAGGGATTCATAAAATAGATCATCCAACTAACTGTGAAACTTCACCAAATTCCATGGGACTTGAGTTAACTCCACCCTCGCAATGACATTAGATTTTTAGTAGAGTTATCTAGATGGACTCATCATTTGGAGATGCTTTTTATGACCACTGAGATAAAATAAGCAAAGTGGGGTGTGTTCTTAATAGCTCAAGAAGAAACTTCTCTCTCAGTGGTCTTGCTCAGCTGTCAATAAGCTTGTGTTTCCCCTACTAACTAATGTATAGGATCTTAACGTTGGGAAGAAACCTATTGGTCGTCTGCTTGTATGCCAGTTCTGAGTGGAAAATCATCCTGGACTCGTCCCAGTAAGTTCCCCGGGAATCTCTTAAAGGAAGATAGACTCTAGTCTCACGCTATTTTGCTTCTCTAAATAATGAATGTCAAGGTGATGTGAAATAGACTCAAGATGATTTCAATAAACTGGATGTAAGTGGATGTGAAAGTGGTAAAGAAGTCTCATCAGGAGCAATTTAAGTTTTATGAGCATCATAAAAGCTATATTTATGTGGCTGATCTTTTACACTGAGCACATTTTAGATAATATGGGAGAAGTGAAGTTAGCCCTGTGTTGTTCTGCGAGGAGATTGTAGTCTAGTGGAGACTTTTACAGAAAAGTTTACAAAAATAATTGACAAGCTGAAACACAAATCACATCAGAAAGGTAGAGGTAAAATGTCTTTGGTGTTTGAGACAGAGAAAATGTCCTTCTTACTGAAGGGATGGGTTTAAAGGGCTAATAAAAATGAAAAGGCATTTAAAGGGGTGGGGATTTGGCTCAATGCTAGAGTACTTACCTAGCGAGTGAAAGGCCCTGGGTTTGGTCCCTAGCTCTGAAAAATAAAATAAAATTTAATTCAATTAAAAAAATCTAAATGGTATTAGAATTTTATCTCTTCCCTAAATACCTCACCACATAGCTTACAAGTCTATTACAGACCTAATCAGAGAAAGTACTGAATAATTTTTTGTTTAATCAGTCAGTGACAAAAACATTAAAACTTAAAAGGACATCATGCTGAATGTGAATTTTTACCTGAAAGACAGTATAATCCTGGGACCCTGAAAAAAAAACAATGTAAATAATCACAGAGATTGTCACATTTTCATAGGATGGTGAATTAGATGTGAGTAAAACCCTGCAGAGCTGACCCAAGAATGTGCTCATTCCTCGTGCTTACCCTTAGTTCATATAGGATGCAGCGCTCACCTCAGGTCGCTGAAACTCCTTAAAGATTGAGGAAGAGCATCCAGGTTGAGTGAGCATAGATGAGTCATCAAATTGGATTAAGGAAGGTTGGTCTAATTCACTGTGTCCACACTGAAAGGACAACAAGCTGGACCATCAACAGCATCATGCACAAGCCTCTGCTAGAACCCCAGATTTCGCAGAATTCAATTTGTCAACACTCAGCACCAGGCCAGATTCCCACTGAAACTTATTTGATTTGCACAAAGACTGAGTTTGCATTCGCTCAGGAATGGGCCCTTGGATGCACACATGGCTTATTGGGGAAGTGAAGAAAGCATCACCGTGAGAGTAGAGACATGGGTCATGATGGTGAGGCAGCCAACACAGGTATTATACAACACAATCAATACACCCACCGAGGGCCCTGGGGGAACTGTGGGAGAAAGTGATAAGCAAACAGCTACAGGTTTCCTATGGTGTTAAATAGCTTGGGATGTTTATACCGCAATTCCCAGGTATGTGGGCCAGTCATGAGATTGCCCGTAGGTGGAGAATGCGGAAGCAGGTATTTTTTGACTCAGGTTTTAAAATAGCAAAAGCAAGGCGAGCCATGTAGGGATAAAAGCACATGCCATGCATGAAACTCAAGTCATGGTCAGGGCAAGCATATTAAAATCAGATGTAGTAGAGAGGACACCTTCAAAAACAGCCGTCTGCATTATAAAGTGCTGGCAGTCAGCTAACTCATCCATTCTTTTATAATCTTCCTCTCCTCATCACTCTCAATAAAAGCACATCCATACAATCCTAGGTCAAAAGTAGGCACAGTTCCACGTCACTGGAAGCCACCAGAGAAGTAAGCTCTGTCACCCAAAGATTTCCCTCTTGCCAATTCCAAGCCAAGCAAAATGTAAGAGAGAAAGAAACCAGGTCACACTTCTCCAATATATATGCAGCCATCCTCAGTGGACTCAAGCAACTACAGAAAAAGCACAAAAACATGTATGCTAACCAAGCTGAGAACGTTACTCAAAGTAACTCTAAAATAAATGAATGTATCTGAAGCCTGTGATGGCTTTCTGTTGACCGTCTAGAGATTTAAAGAGAAAGCTGCCCTGTTAATGACAAACAGCTGTGGATCTGCAGTCTGCTGCTTGGCAGCCAGGCCAGCCACTGACAAGTGCCTTTGTCACACCAACAGCCACACGACTTCAGTCAGCAGAAGCTGCTGCCACTTACACTTGGAATGAATGTGCTAATAGTCAGCATCACTCCTCTGCACTAATGGACAAACAGTGAGGCTTGACTCACTTAGTCTGCAGGAATAATGGTTTCCACCCAGGTTTGGGATTTCTGGGAAAACATTTCATGTTCAGGGCTATAATTTTTTGAAATTCTGAAAGAAAATATATTCTCTAATATTCTATGTCTTCATCAAGACTGCCTCAGAAATACTGCAAATGTCTGAGGTTCAAGGGCAATATTTGTTCTATAGAGACACACACAGGGGGAATTCCCTAATAAAGATGCAATTGGTAGATAAAATCAGTTTATTCCTATGTCAGTTTAAGCACACTTCTTAATGTATGTATTTTGATTGTCTCTTCTTTAATTCTTTTATTTATTTTTATTTATGTGTGTGTGTGTGTGTATGTGTGTGTGTGAGTGATCTCAAGAGAGAGTATATGCCACATATGTGAAGGTGCCCACAGAGGACAGAATTGGGCATCAGATCCCCTGGAAGTGGAGTTACAGACAGTTTGTGAAGTAACTGAGGTAGTACTGGGAACCAAGAACAGATCACTTGAAAGAGTAGCAAGTACCAAGAAGAGATCAACCATTTAAATAGACCCACAACACATAAGGAAATCGAAACAGTAATGCAAAGCCTCCTGACTAAAAAAAGCCCAGGCCCAGACAGATTTACAGCAGAATTCTACCAGACATTTGAAGAAGACCTCCAACTAATACTACTTAAATTATTCAAAATGATAGAAACGGAGGGAGAAGTCCCAAACTCGTTCTACAAAGCCAACATCCCTCTAATACCCAAACCAGGTAAAGACACAACCAAAAAAAACTATAGACTCATATCCTTAATGAACATAGATGCAAAAATTCTCAACAAAATACTTGCAAACCACATACAGATGTACATCATAAAGATCATTCACCATGATCAAGTAGGCTTTATTCCAGAGATGCAGGGATAGTTCAACATACACAAGTCAATAAATGTCACCAAGCATATAAATGGAATCAAAGGCAAAAACGACATCGTCATCTCAATAGATGCAGAAAAGGCTTTTGACAAAATCCAGCATGCATTCATGGTAAAAGTTCTAAAGGGAATTGGACTGGAGGGAACATACCTCAACATAATTAAAGCTACATACAACAAACCCACAGCCAACATCATTCTAAATGGAGATAAACTGGAAGCATTTCTATGAAAATCTGGAACCAGGCAACATCCACTATCTCCACTCCTTTTCAATATAGTGCTCGAAACTCTTGCTAGAGCAATAAGACAAAGAAAATTAAAGGAGCACAAATTAGAAAAGAAGAGGTCAAATTATCTCTTTTTGCAGACAATATGCTACTAGACCTAAATGATCCAAAAATTTCCACCGGAAAACTCCTAGAACTGATCAACACTTTCAGTAAAGTGGCAGGTTACAAAATTAATCTACAAAAATCAGTAGGCTTTCTATATACCACTAACAAGCAATTGGAGAAAGAGTATAGGGAAATTCTCCCATTTACAATAGCTGCAAAAAATATATATCTTGGAATAAGCTTGACCAAAGACATCAAAAGTCTCTACAACAAAATTTTTAAATCTTTAAAGAGATTGAGGAAGACACCAGAAGACGGAAGTTCCTCCCATGCACATGGATTGGAAGAATTAATATTGTGAAAATGACCATCCTACCAAAAGCATTATATAGATTCAATGCAATCCCAATCAAAATCCCCATGACATACTTCACAGAATTAGAAAAAAAAAACTTCCATAAATTCATATGGAAGTACAAAAGACTCCGAGTAGCCAAAGCAACTGTGAGCACAAAGAGCAACACTTATAATAAAAATCCCCATGATATACTTCACATAATTAGAAAAAAATCCTTAAATTAATGTGGAATCACAAAAGACCCCAAATAGCCATAGCAATCCCGAGCATAAAGAGCAATGCTGGAGGAAATACTATACCAGATCTCAAAGTATACTACAGACCTATAGTCATAAACAGTATGGTACTGGCACAAAAATAGACGCATAGATCAATGGAACATCACTGAAGACCCAAACCTGAGTACATGGAATTTCAGCCACTTGATATTTGACAAAAGTGCCAAGAACACACAATGGGGGAAATCTTCAACAAATGGTGCTGGCAAAACTGGATCCCCAACTGTAGAATGAAACTAGATTCTCATCTTTCACCTTGCACAAAAGTCAGCTCCAAATGGATCAAAGACCTCAGTGTGAAACCTGAAGCCCTAAAACTATTAGAAGAAAATATTGATGGTAAGTTATAAGACATAGGAGTAGGAAAGGATTTCTAAATCAAATGGCAGTTGCTCAGGAATTAAGGTCGGCAATCAACAAGTAGGACCTCATTAAAATAACAGGTTTCTGTACAGCAAAAGGAGCAATCAAGAAAGTGAAGAGAAAACCAACAGAGTGGGAAAAAAATCTTCACCAGTGACACATCTGACAGACGTTTAACATCCAGAATATATAAAGAACCCAAAAAATAATGAATGGAAAAAGCAAATGACCCAATTAAAAGATGGGCTAAAGATCTAAACAGAGAGTTCTCAAAAGAAGAAATAAAGATGGCTAAGAAACATCTTTAAAAGTGTTCAACATCATTGGTAATTAGGGGAATGCAAATTAAAACCACCTTAAGGTTTCACTATACTCAGTCAAACTGGCTAGGATCAAGAGAACAAATGATATCAAATGCTGGCAAGGATGTGGATAAAGGGGAACCCTCATTCACTCTCCATGTGGAATTGCAAACTCATGCAACCCCTATGGAAAACAGTGTGGAGAACTCTTAAAAAACTAAAACTGAATATATCATATGACCCAGTTATACCATTCCTTGGCATATACCCAAAGGACTCATCCTATTTTAGAGACACTTGCACAACCATGTTTGTTGCTGCTCTTTTCACAATACCTAAGAGATGGAAGCAACCTAAGTGCCCCTCAACTGATGAGTGGTTAACAAAAATGTGGTATATTTGCACAATGGAGTTCTATTCAGCAGTAAAGAAAGATGAAATAATGAAATTTGCAGGTAAATGGATGGATCTAGAAACTGTTATACTAGTGAAGTAACACAGACTCAGAAAAATTAGTGACATCTGTTCCCACTCATCTGTGGATCCTAGCACCAAATCCTTATAAGTGAGTGCATATCCTGATGTAACTGCAAGGACCAGGAATATGGAAGGAAAACGGGGAGGTAAAGGGAAAGGAGGAACCCAAGAGAGAAGAATTTTAGGATGAAGGTGTTATTAAGGGAGAAATATGTAACAGGGGGTAGTTAAAGGGAAGGGGGAAGGAGGACTAAACAAAGAACTATGGGAATAAAGAGAGAGGAAATTCTCTAGATACACATTAAAAATCAAAGTCTTAAGCACAGAAAGAACCCTACCAGGATAGAAGAAAGCCCTTCCAGAAGCAATACAGTTGTTAAATGAAAATCCCAGTGCCAGAGGTGGGGACCACAGGTTTTAGGGATTGCCAAAGCTGTGAAATGTTATAATTAAGATGTAAAAAGAGGAAGAGATAAATACGGGAGAAAGAAGACAAGATGTAGCAATGAGAGGGGATCATGTAGGCTGTGGCTGAAGAATAAAGCAAGCTTATAATAACTGGTTGGAGAAACAGAAGCAATGGTTCAACTGAGCAATGTACAAGAAGAGAAAAATTACCATGAATCACACATGCAATATTAGATATCAAATAATAGAAAATTAAAAAAAGAGGACACATAGAGTGAATGGTTGGCACAGCTGTGCTGAGCTGAAAGGTGAACTCAGAATCCCCTGACTCCAGGAGGCTCTACATGGTGCTGTGTGCAGGAGGGG